ACAATTGATCTGAATAAGATTGTTTTAATAATATTTTTTAAATATCTTTTAGCTGAGCTTTTGTTGTAACTTATTTAGAATGATTTTTTTGTAAAGTTTGTGTATAACAATTTTTTTATAAATAATGTAATGCTAACGCGCGTGCACTTGGCTTCTTTTTTTTACTTTTTTTGAAAAAGTAATTTTGTTAAGATATCACATCTTTTTTAGAAAATAATATTAAACATTCAAAACAAGCTTCTTTGTTAATAAGTTTATACGTTGAGCTTGGTCATTGCAAATATTTAGGTATACATAAAAAGAAGGTTCTTTGATATGAAATACAAATTATAATATATATAAGTAATAATAATGAATTACTTTTAAAAAGTAACCTTTCCTCTTTCATTATCTTTTAGAGACCTTCTAATAAGAGTCAGGACATCACAGTGATCTTGTCAAAATTATGCGAGAGAGAAAGATAAATATTTTTTGTAGAGAGTCTCTAGGAAATATATATCTTTCTCTCTCGCATGATTTTGACAAGATCGCTCCTATGTCCAGACTCTTGTTAGAAGGTCTCTACTATCTTGCATTTCTCAATTTTATATCTTCTTGTATCGTTTCTGTTTTCTGTTTCCTATCTGCCTGAATACTATCCTCTCTTCTTATATTTGCTATTTTTCTCCCACCTTTCTGTACATCCTTTCTTCCTTTCTTCTTACCTTGTTTAAAAACAACACAAACAATATAAAGAGTATGACACGCAAACATAGGGTACGTTCAGAAGATACAACTGTTGCACAACGGTTGAGTAATTAGTCAATGTAATAGTTCTAAAGTTAGTAAGGACCAATAATCACTGACCGCTGACTGATCAGCTATGTTTTCTGAATGCAGCCATAGTACTATATCTTTGTAAGTTATCCTATTATGTAAAGCAATACTTATTTATTATCTTATTTACTTATTTACTATCCTTTACTTACTCATATATTCCTCTTGTTTTTCTATCTCGCTCTGTTATGGTTGTTTACCGTTTTATCATTTTTTTTTTTCATCTCGCACATTCTCTCCTTTCTTTTCTTTTTCTTATTATTTAATTTAGCTGTAAAAAGTAAAAACGACACAAAGTATTCAAGTTTTATATCGTTATCGTTATATATTTTTATTGTTATGCATTCGCCGATATTTTTCTGATATTATATCCTTGTTATCTCCATACATTTCTTCAAAATTATCACGGCAAACACATCACAACTTTTAAAACTATCAGTATTAAAAAATAACATCGCTATAATCCCATTCTCGTACACGCGAATGTCACTCGACTCCGCCGCGATCACAGTTACAATTCGGTAAATCAGTAATAACTTCGTTATAACCTCATTCTCGTACACGCGAAAACTGTCACTCGACTCCGCGGTGATCACAGTTACAAGTCGGTAAATCGGTAAACGTAACACTCGCCATCCCGCCATTTAACGGAGGACAGTCACTGGACATTTCGGTGGTGAGGAGACGTTTCTTAGTCACAAATTCACGATTATACATTATTTCAGAACTTTGAGCTAAGATAACTCAGGCTTCTGGAGCACGTAGAGAAAAAGCAAAGACAGTTTTTTAATAAGAAAAATTCAAGGAATCGATTAAGTCTATCCAGAATCTCGTCCGTTCAGCCGTTATAGCCGAAATAAGAATTATGACCTATATATATACCAAAGTCGTCGCGTAGTTATATACGGTAGGCCGCTTCGTGCTTGCACTTGGCTTCGCGACACTACCGTGTCGCTTGATAATATTGAAAAAATCTCAATTTTTTTTATAAAGGTACCTGTAATATTCAACATGATTTATGTAAAGTTACAATGCGATGCATAAAATAGTTATTCAGTAAATAAACAAATTATTTATTGGTTTTATATCTTTGTAATTAATCGGTGAATCGCAATGAAACAAAGTGGTACCACTATTGATAACCTTACCTGCTTATACAAAAATATTTATATATACAATTTTTTTTTTTTTTTTAGTCTATAACAATACAAATAATAACAAATAAATTAAATAAACTATAAAAATGTGTTGTTAGAACAAAATAGATGTTTTATGTATACAACTTTTTATGTATATAGTCTGTTTAACGTATAAATATTAGTATGTGCTATATGTGTACGCTCCAACCTCCTTAAACGAGCCATACTATCACCTTCTCCTCTATTATTATATTTTGAGTGTCTAACACTTATTATTCCAAGTAATATTAATATTATTTTTAAACATTATTTTGTTTAATTGATAACATATCAATATTAACAGGATTAATATAAACATTTCGATTTTGAAACAGCTTAGAAGTTAAATAATTACATAATCTATATAATATGAATATTATTATGAAGAAGTGAATACTTTACGAGATATTTCTTATATTACTATGAGTGGTTTATCTTGAAAACAATTTAACGTTATATTACAAGTACATAATACCATGCATTCTGCAATCCTCTATCTTTTCATATTGTACAGATATTGCAACATGGATTTTACTGCAAAACGCCGTAGAAAACATACTTTAGATATATCAAAAAGGCACCTGAGAAGATTAGCTGCAGAACAGGCAGATATTATTTCCACAAATTTGAATCATACAAGTTCTTCAGTGAACAATAATACTAAATGCATAACACATTTGAAACATGAGAGATTAGAGTATAAAAGAATACATTCCGATAATGAAACGGAAAAGGAAAATAACAGTTTCGTACAACATGAACATGAAAATGACATATTTGTACAGTATGAAAATATACAATCTGCATCAGAGTTAGATTCACAACGATCATCTATGAACGTTCCTCGTGATGAATCAAGCGATTCGAATTTTGAAAATAATAATGCTAATGGAAATGGAAATGGATTCTCTTTTAAAGATGATCTTGCAGTATGGGCAATTGATCATGAAACATCACATACCGCTCTACATGCATTGCTGTTAACACTTAGGAAACATTCATGTTTTTCAACAATTTCTGTGGACGCACGAACACTGTTAAAAACACCAAGACAATACCAAAATATCCGTACAGTTGTTCCAGGAACATATTGTCATTTCGGATTAATAAAATCTATCAAAGAAATATTGTTATCTGTGAAAGAGGATGTTGATTGCTTAAAAATAGCAGTCAACATTGACGGTTTGCCATTAACAAAATCGTCCCAACAACAATTTTGGCCTATACTCGGCTCAGTAATTCCAAATGGCAACGTTTTTATGATTGGACTTTACCATGGTAAACCAGAGGATGCCAATGATTTCTTGAAAGATTTTGTCGACGAGGCAAAAGAATTATGTGAAAATGGAATGAACATCAATGGTCGACAAGTAATATGTCGGATTGGAGCATTAATTTGTGATACACCTGCGAAAGCATTTGTTTTATCTGTAAAAGGACATTCTGGATACTCCAGTTGTACTAAGTGTACTACGGAAGGAGAGTACATTGGACATCGAATGTGCTTTCCACAAATTGACGCACCACTTCGAACTGACGAAAATTTTTTACAGAAGATTTACGACAATTTTCACAAACCAAATACTATATGCAGTTTAGTCAACATTCCTCATTTCAAACCTGTGACAGATGTGCCCTTGGACTACATGCACTTAATATGTTTGGGTATTATGCGCAAATTAATAAATTTATGGCTTCATGGCGAATTATCATATCGACTACAATACAGAGCCGTGGATGACATTTCAACACGTTTAGTAAATCAATTGAAGCCATCAATACCTGTTGAATTTGCTAGAAAACCAAGAAGGTTAGATAGCGTAAAATTATGGAAAGCCACAGAATACAGACAAATATTGCTATATACAGGTCCAATAGCGTTTAAATGCATATTAAAGAAAAAAATATATGTACATTTTATGACATTGCATGTTATTATAAGGATCTTGTCTTCAAGAAATTTACATGAACACCTTAACTATACGCAAGATTTCATTTGTTTCTTCATTAAAACATTTATAAAACTGTACGGAGTTAAGAACGTTTCACATAATGTTCATAGTCTCGTTCATCTAGTAGATGATGTCAAAAAATTTGGACCTCTCGACAACTTTAGTGCGTTTCAATTTGAAAATTACATGCAGAAATTAAAAAAGTATATGCGAAAAGCGGAAAAACCTTTACAACAGGTTATACGAAGATGTATTGAGAGAGAAAAGAGTTCACTCACATCAACTGCTTTGCCATATCATGATCTACAACATTATAATTTAATGTCATTGCATTATGATGGGCCTATTATTCCGAATTGTCACAGTCCACAATATAAAGTTGTTAAGTTCAACGGAATGACATTTAAAGTTGGAACACTTGCTGATAGCACCTGCGGCTTAACTTGTGGTGCAATTGTCTGTATTCACAATGTGGCTTACAACGCAAAACAAAATGTTCTCGTTATTATTGGTCAAGAATTCTTAGTAAGAGAGGATCTCTTTAATGTTCCATGTTCATCTTCTTTACTTGATATCTATTGTGTTCATTCTTTATCTACTTTGAAATCGTGGCCGCTGAAAGACATTATAAAAAAATATGTAAAATTGCCAAACAAAAATGACAAGTTTGCTGTATTTCCTCTTCTTTATTCCAACGTGTAATTTTGACATCCATTTCAATACAGAATGACTGACAAGAAAAGATATGTTATTGTTGAATTCAAAGATGGTCTTCAAATTGTACCCATTACATGGTTAAGTACTGATTCACGAAGATCAAAATGGCCTAGAAATTATATCAGTAACGATAGATACGACAGAGCGGTTAGAAGTATGGAAATACCTGACTCAACTTGGGAGGAACATGATGTTCTTAAAATATATACGACATGCTGTAAGTAATGTATTATTAGTGTGGGATTAAGATATTTATTTGTTAAAGTTAAATATAGAAGGGGAAATTGTTACACAATTACGAGTCTTAGTAGTCAAATTCGCAGCGCGTCAGAGTAATCTGTAGCACGTCTTTTTTGGTAGTTGTGCAACTTTTATCAGATTCTTTTTCAATCTTGCTTTTATCAATTTCGCAAAATAAAAGCACAAAAGGTGACCGAAATAAATAACTTTTTTTCATGCATTACTATGCACAACCCAGCCGAGACATACTACAATTAATAATGCTGCTAATATAACCAATATACCTCCAACTTAAATTATCACTTTTTAGATATAACATATATATATATATATTATATATATTATATATATATATATAATACATATTATATATATTTTTGATATTTTTTTGTATATGTATGATCGACACTTATTTGCTTTTTGTACGGAAAATGGTAATGCTTAATATGATAATTTTTCAGCCGACTATACAGTAGCACGACAAAAGTTAAAATTGGCCGAACATTTATCTGATATAAACTCGTGTTCCGACGAGGAGAATAATATTAAAAAGTCCCGAAAAATTAGAGCAGCTAAAGTACATGATTCAAGTTCTTATGATTATTCTGAAGATGAAGACGATTCTGACCAAGTAATTTTATCAAACCTTCCGATACCTCCAACTGGCAAAAAAATAGATAATATCTCAAAAGGGATATCGGGAAAAAAAATAACTCAGGCATATAAAGGTGAGAATACAATAAAGCATTAATAACAGAAGTGGATATTTTTCCGAACAAGAAATTACAAATATATTAATATGTAATTTATTTTTTATTAAAAATTAATTTGAATACAAATTTAATCTTAAACCAAAAATATTCTTTGTAATAAATACAAATCTAACACAAGTATTTTATAAATATTTTATATATGTTTGTAAAATCCTAAAATATGCAATAAATATTTAATCCATTCGAAAGTATATGTAGTAATAATTTAAATAAATTATTCAAAAGTATATGCATCGAAAGTTTAATACTATTGCCTTTCAAAAAAATGTCATATAGTGTTTGAATATAAATTTATTCACCTATCTGTAAGAGATTTTAAGTTGTTATATGTCTAACGAAAGTTATATTTGTGTTTCAAGATTATTTCATTTTACTAAATTTTCCATTTGAACCAAATATTATTCAACATATATGAATAAATATATATTGTCATGAAAACATTTTTGCAGATCCGAAGAACGTTAAAAAAGTAGACACTACATATACAGAACACATTACTTCTTGCAGTTCCTACAACCAACGTTCTTGCATTGATAAGGATAATTTTTGTAAGTAATTTCTATCTAATAAATATATCAAATATATATTGAAATAGCTAAAATCAATAGTTAAAATAAGCACTTTATGAATTGCAGGTCCGGAGAATGCTAAAAAGACAGATACAACAACTACGGAAAGCGTAGCTTCTTGCAGTTCCTACAACCAACGTTCTTGCATTGATAAGGATAATTTTTGTAAGTAATTTCTATCGAATAAATATATCAAATATATTGAAATAGCTATAAGCAATAGTTAAAAGAAGCACGTTATGAATTGCAGATTCGAAGAATGCTAAAAAGATAGATACAACGGAAAGCGTAGCTTCTTGCAGTTCCTACAACCAACGTTCCTGCATTGAAGACGACGATTTTTGTACGTAATTTCTATCTAATAAATAGTACAATGTCCTTAAATGTTAGTAAAAGTGTCAGTTCAAATTATGTGGAAATATTAATGATAGTATTGGTGGACCAGGTTTAGATACAGAATATGCTGAAACTCTAATAGATGTTGACTCTCAAAATGAAAATATTCCTCCTAACAGACAAACCAGTAATTATACTGGAGGTAAGTAATGCAATTGCATATTTTTTTGTCTTAAAACCTTCGCAATATAAAATTTTTAAAGTTTAAAATTTTCAATGTATTTCTAATATATTATAGGATTTGATTTTGAACGGCTCGTTGTAAAAAAATTCCAACATTTGGAATTAAAAATAAGCAGCATTCAAAAACAAAACGAGAAAATTTTAAAGAAGCTTGGTGAAACCGTTCAGCCAGAAAAAAAGCAAAAATTTGATATTTTTCAAGATTTACCTTTAAAAGATAAAAACCAATTAGAAGCTTTGGACTCCAAACTTGCCAGAGATATTCCTTACCGGAATGAAATGGTAAATATAACCAAAAATAAAAGTATTTGTTTTAGAGGAAAACATTAGTTTGTAATTTAAAAATTGGAAATTAAAAAAGATAACTTCTTTAATTAAGAGTGTCTAAGTGACGTCCATAAAGAATTGTTATATAAAAAGTAATACTTTCGATTGCTTACATTTGGAACAAAAATATTAATAATAATTTCTCTTTATTCTAGATTAAACAATTAGCACGATTAACAGGACGGGATATTAAACATTCATGTTTATGTTTAATGAGACAATTAGTGTCAAATGAACTTGCACTTGTATACAGCTGGTATGGTGCCAAAAAAAAAAGAAAATTTTTCTAAGCTGAATTTGTGCAAAATAATTTGTAGTAAGTAAAATTTTAAGGAATAATAATTTCTTTGTATTATTAAATGCTATAATTATTTCCAAATTTGAAAGATTATATTGAAAGCATTAGTACTATGTTTTAAATTTATGAAATGTTAACAAATTATTTTGAAATATGTAATAATCATATTAATATTTGTCAATTATTGTTACATTTATATACGAGTATTACAAACAAAATAAACTCCATTACTTTTTACTTTATTTATATTTTATTTTATTACAAACTTATGCTAAAGATGTTTTTTTATTTACATGAAAATAATGAAATAATTTATGTTTTTGTAGGTATTATCAGAAACGCATATGAAACAGTCAAGGATGACCAGATATCTGGTCCCATAAAAATCTGGTTAGCTCACGCCAAAGAGCGTATAGATAGAGAAAATAATAGAAGAGACCAGAGGAATCAACACGATCCTGAAGAACCCGAACAACCCGAAGAACATTAAGGATTTTATGTTAAAGAACTTAGAGATAAGTTAAAGACGTTCTTGTTAATTTTTTCAAGGTTTCTGCTTCATTGCACTCAGTCACTGAAGGCTTCTGACAACTCTGTTTATAATATCACGATTGTAATATAGTTGCGATGACTAGTCAGGAGTCTTAAGTTACTGTCATATTTTTTTTATGAGATGTTTAAAATGGTCACCATACTCACCTTCTTTCCTAAGGTGATCAAATTCGTAAAACCTGCATTATATTTATATTTTTGTTTTCTTGTCAGATAATATTCGTTTGTTTGTTCAAATAGTCTCGTGCAGGATTTTTAAACCGTCAGAATCTTAACTTAAGTATAAGATGATTTCAATATTGCAATAGCGTTAGTAGAGGCACATAAAATCTCTTTCAGTAGATAAACATAAAATTTTTAGGTTGGCTGTTGCGGAGTATATAACACTATTATATTCTCGTCTGTCAACAATTGCTATTCACTCACTAGATATTGGTACAATCAGGATCTGATTACTTTCGTGAACCGAATGCTAGACACGGTACGGTTAATGAAATCGGATGCTTTGTTAATACATTATGCATTAAAATTAGAGAATC